AAAAAAAAAAAAAAAAGAACAGATTACTGGCTGCCAATGGTGATGGAAGGGGTGGGGATGATGGACAAGGAAGTGTGGCTATAGAAAGGCAACCTGAGGGATCTCTGTTGTGATAGAAATGTTCTGTATTTGGACTGTATCCATGTCAATATCCTGGTTGTGACAGAGTAGACCTCTTACCTATGGTTTTGCTTTCTGTGGATTCAGTTACCTATAGTCAACCTTGGTCTGATGGTATAGTATTTTCAAGGACAGTGAGATAGGTAGAACACGTTTATGTAATATTTATTACAATACATTGTTATAATTCTTTTTTTTTTTGGAGACAAAGTCTCAGTATGTCATCCTCAGTAGAGTGGTGTCACAGCTCATAGCAACCTCAAACTCTTGGGCTCAAGTGATTCTCTTGCCTCAACCTCCCAAGTAGCTGGGACTACAGGTGCCCGCCACAATGCCCAGCTATTTTTTTGTTGTTGTTGCAGTTGTCATTGTTGTTTAGCAGGCCCTGGCCAGCTGGAATCCACTAGCGTCGGTGTATGTGGCCAGTGCCATACTCACTGAGCCTGTTCTTTTTTTTTTTTACTAGTTACTGTTTATCTCTTAAAAACTAAACTTTGTCATAATTATATGTGTATATGAAAAAACATGTATATACGTATGGGGTTTGGTACTATCTTGGCATCCACTGGGGATCTTGAAAACATTCTAGAGGGTAAAATAGGACTACAGTATTGTATTAGTTTTTCAAGATGTTACCATTGGGGGAAACTGAGTAAATCTTATAGAGGATAACTCTGTATTATTTCTTTTTTCTTTTGAGACAGAGCCTCAAGCTGTCCCCCTGGGTAGAGTGCTGAGGCATCACAGCTCACAGCAACCTCCAACTCCTGGGCTCAAGCAAGTCTCCTGCCTCCGCCTCCCAAGTAGCTGGAACCACAGGCACCTGCCACAGTGCTTGGCTATTTTTTTTTTTGTTGTTGTTGCAGCCATCATTGTTGTTTGGCAGGCCCGGGCAGGGGATTCGAACCCGCCACCTTAGGTGTATGTGGCTGGCGCCTTAGCCACTTGAGCCACAGATGCCGAGACAACTCTGTATTATTTCTTACAGTGACATGTGAATCTATAATTATCTCAAAAGGCTTCATTTTAAAAATTGAATACGAGAAAGAATGTCATTGAAAATAACATTCTGGGCTCCGTGCCTGTGGCTCAAGCGGCTAAGGCGCCAGCCACATACACCTAAGGTGGCGGGTTCGAATCCCCAGCCCAGGCCCGCCAAACAACAATGATGGTTGCAACCAAAAAATGGCCAGGCGTTGTGGTGGGCGCCTGTAGTCCCAGCTACTTGGGAGGCTGAGGCAGGAGACTCGCTTGAGCCCAGGAGTTGGAGGTTGCTGTGAGCGTGATGCCATGGCACTCTACCCAGGGGGGATAGCTTGAGGCTCCATCTCAAAAAAAAAAAAAAAAAAAAAAGAAAATAACATTCTGCCTGACAAAAAACACCTACCAAGTTAGGACTATTAAATCAGTATTCATAAGATACTGCTTCACATACCATGTAGTTGAAATTTCTATGGACAATGCTTTTTGTTGGCTTGGCACCTGTAGCTCAGTGGTTGGGGCACCAGCCAAATGCCCTGGGACTGGCGGGTTCGAACCCGGCCGGGACCTGCTAAATAACAATGACAACAACGACAAAAAAATAGCTGGGAGTTGTGGCAGGTGTCTGTAGTCTCAGCTACTTGGGAGGATGAGGCAAAAGAATTGCTTAAGCCCAAGAGTTTGAGGTTGCTGTGAGCTGTGATGTCATAGCACTCTATTAAGGGTGACACAGTGAGACTCTGTCTCAAAAAACTTTACGTAAATAGTATGAGTGTTAACTTTCTGTAACTTGCTCATCAATCAGCATGTTTTTGAGCTTTTCTTTTTTTTTTTTGTTGCAGTTGACACTGCTGTTTTTAACTGGCTGTGGCCCACCCTCGGGATATGGGGCCGGTGCCCTACCCACTGAACCACAGGCGCTGCCCTTGAGCTTCTTTCTATGAATATTAATATAGCCTTAGTTCATCCATTTTTTACTTTTAATATGACATTGTACATATATTTCATGTTTTATTTCCCCATTCCCCAATTGCCAAGTGTTTTGATAAGGTCTGTTTTTGCTCAGAAATGTAAAAAATAGGGCTGAGTACAGTGCTTCATGTCTGGAATCCTAGCACTTTGGGAAGCCAAGGTGGGAGGACTGCTTCAGCCTAGGAACTTGATGCTGTTTCTAAAAAAATTAGCCAGGTATGCTGACACAAGTCTGTTGTCCCACCTACTTGGGACAAAAAGGAAGCCTAGGAGTTAGTTCAAGGCTGCAGTGAGCTAAGATGATGCCACTGCACTCCAGCCCAGGTGACGGAGACCTTGTCTTAAACAAATATAAACCCAAAAAGAAATATAAAAAATCTCTGAAAATATTCAGTAAAAGAATTGCTATAATACAGTGATACAGTCTTCACTTCATTCATTGGTTCTATTTTTTTTTTTTGGAGACAAGAGCCTCAAGCTGTCGCCCTGGGTAGAGTGCAATGCCATCACAGCTCACAGCAACTTCCAACACCTGGGCTTTAGCAATTCTCTTGCTTCAGCCTCTCAAGTAGCTGGGACTACAGGTGCCTGGTACAACACCCGGCCATTTTTTGGTTGTAGTTTCATTGTTGTTTGGCAGGTCCAGGCTGGATTTGAACCCGCCAGCTCTGTTCTATGTGGCTGGTGCCTTAGCCACCTGAGCTATAGGTGTGAGCCAGTTCATTCTAGTGACTAGGCACAGGGAAGTTCTAGCTGAAGGAATAAAGACTTTGGCTGTATAGTTACTAAATGTTCAGCCAATATTTTAATGATTACTTTGTGTTAAAGTACCATACTATAAACTTTTGTGGGTCCAATGTAAAATCTGTATTTTCTTTTTTTTTTTTGTAGAGACAGAGTCTCACTTTATTGCCCTCAGTAGAGTGCCATGGTGTCACACAGCTCACAGCAACCTCCAATTCCTGGGCTTAAGTGATTCTCCTGCTTCAGCCTCCTGAGTAGCTGGGACTACAGGTGCTCAGCTATTTTTTTTGTTTTGAACCCACCACCCTGGGTATATGGGGCCGACACCCTACCTACTGAGCCATAGGGACCGCCCCTAAAATCTGTATTTTCTTCTCGACTTTCATATTACCTGTTAACTGTTCCCCTTTACATTAACCAGTTGCCTTCCATTAATACCTCTTCCTTTCTCTGGTCTCCAAAGATGAGAGGTACCATTTCCTATTGAAGGTCAATCCATCCATTTGTGCCTAAAGGCTTCCTCACCTCTACTTCCTCTTCTGGGACCTTGCACTATTAGTGAAATCTTCTCTCTCATTTATGTTTAATTATTTATTTATTTTTATTAGATACAAGGTCTCACTCTGTCTATTACCCAGGCGGGGGTGCAGTGGCATGGTAATAGCTCACTGAAACTCTGAACTCTTGGCCTTACCCTCCCAAGTATGACTATAGAAGTGTATCACTATGCTCAGTTAATTAAAAAAAAAAAGAAAAACAGGGTCTCTGTCACCCAGGCTGGAGTACCATGGTATCATATTAGCTCACTGCAATGTGAAACTCCCAGCTCAACTGACCCTTGCACCTCAGCCTTCCATACAGCTTGGTGACATCATGTGCAACATATGGCTAAATTTTTAATTTGTTCTATCTAGATCTTTTCCTTTTTTGTCAACAAATATCCTAGAACAGAGTGGCAAACTACAAGTCTGGCCCAATATCATTTTGCAAATAAAATTCACTTTCTTTTCTTCCCCCCTCCCCCAAGATAGAGTCTTACTCTGTCACCTAGGCTAGAGTTCAGCTGCGGTCTTGAATTCCTGGGCTCGCGCAATCCTCCTCCTTCATCCTTCCAAGTAGCTGGGGCTACAGGTGTGTGTCATCACGCCCAGATAATTTTTCTTACGTTGTGTAGAGATAGGGTCTCACTACATTGCCCAGATTGGTCTCGAACTCCTAGTCTCAAGAGATCCTCCTGCCTCAGCCCACCAAAGCACTGAGATTGCAGGCATGCGTCACTTATCCAGCTAAAGTTCATTTTCATATCGTCTAGGGCTGCTTGCCACCTAATTGAGTAGCTGCTTCAGACTGTACAGCTCTTTAACAAAAATGCTGCCTATCCTGCAGCCTCAATCTCCATTGTTAAAATACAAAAACTCTCCGATCCCCCTGCAAAACCTGATACCACATGTTGTTGTTATCCACTAACTCTCTTCTATTCCTATCCAAAATTATTTTTTGTCTTAGCCCCTGTGACCCAGAACTCATCTCCTTTAGACTCTCTCATTAACAAAAGAACACTCACCTATCTCTTATACTTACCTTTTGATCATCAGGAATTGGTTCCTGGGACTTTAGAAGTGAAGCTCTTTCTTCATCTACCCAATTGCCCCACTCTTCTGCTGGTGCATTCCAGTCAGAGCTGGGATCAGCAGAAGACAGACCATCTAAAATTTAACAGTGCGAATTAGATGTCTATCATTTCTGCCATAAACTAAAACACAAAAACTAAAAATTTCTTATGTTGAATTAAAACATAATTTTAAACTATTGTTCTTTCTCTCAAGCACATTTTAAGAGCTAGAAAAGAAAAAAAAACCAAAACAACATGATGGTAAGAATCTTCATTGAACTTCTATTAGTTTATTATTTGGTTAGACGGAACTATGAAAAACTCCAGAAAATGTATTAATTGGCCATTTAATTCCAGTTTCCCTACTTCATTTTGTGTGTGTGTGTGTGTGGGGGGGGGGGCAGAGTCTCTCAGTAGAGTGCTGTGATGTCACAGCTCACAGCAACCTCAAATTCCTGGGTTCAAGCAATTCTCTTGCCTCAGCCTCTTGAGTAGCTGGGAGTATAGGCACCTACCACAGTGCCCACTTACTTTTAGAGATTAAGTCTCACTCTGGCTCAGGGTGGTCTTAAACCTGTGAGCTCAGGCACTCCACCTGCCTCCCAGAGTGCTGAGATTATAGGCGTGGCTCGGCCTCCTATAATGAATGTTCTCAATTTATTTTTGTTTCCCTGTCCATTTTTAACTTTATCTAGGATAAGTTTGGCCTGATTGAGACAACATTTTTTTTTTGGGGGGGGACAGAGTCTCAAGTTGTCACCCTGGGTAGAGTGCTATGGCATCACAGCTCACAGCAACCGCAAACTCTTGGGTTTAAGCTAAGCGATTCTCTTGCTTCAACCTCCCAAGTAACTGGGACCACAGGCACCTGTCACAATGCCCGGCTATTTTTCTGGTTGTTGTTGCAGTTGTCATTGTTTTAGCTGGCCCAGGCCAGGTTTGAACCCTCCAGCCTTGGTATATGTGGCTGGCATCCTACCCACTGAGCTACCAGCACCGTTGTGACATTTTTGTAATTGACTTATTTTCTAGGGTTCAAAATTTTTAACAGAAGTATTAAATTATATTCTTTACCTGTCATTTTATACTCTCTTTCTCCCATCCTTATGAGCTTTTCAAGGTTAGGTTCTTCAAATTCAACAAGTCATGACAGAATATTTAACCTCTTCCTTTCCTCCTCTTCTTTTTATACTTAACCTGTACCTATCTTATACCAGATTATTCAAAGTTCCTTTTATTTGCTATTTAAGTTACTTTCTTTTTTTTTTTTTTTTGAGACAGAGCCTCAAGCTATCCCCCTAGGTAGAGTGCCATGGCATCACAGCTCACAGCAACCTCCAACTCCTGGGCTCAAGCGAGTCTCCCGCCTCAGCCTCCCAAGTAGCTGGGACCACAGGCGCCTGCCACAATGCCCGGCCATTTTTTGGTTGCAGCCATCACTGTTGTTTGGCGGGCCCGGGCTGGGGATTCAAACCCGCCACCTCGGGTGTATGTGGCTGGCGCCTTAGCTGCTTGAGCCACAGGCGCCGAGCCTATTTAAGTTACTTTCAAGGCTTTAATCATCTTATTCTCAAAAATAAATTTTATTTCAGTCTTTTAAATCCCTTTCTTTTACTCTAGGAGGTACTGAATTTTTACTTACTGCAAGAAGCTATCATCAACTTATTTTAAAAGGAAAAACCATTGTTTGGCTTTACCCTGGCTTAAATAAGTAGCTCTCAAAATTAATTTTTCCCTCCTCTCCTTGCATATACTCCCATATATCCTTACAGTTAGGTTTCATTTACATTGGTCTAAAAAGACAGAAGTTAGGCTTTATTTCCAAATGGTTAACAAGTGTCCTAACATTGCTTAACTTAAAAAAAAAAAAACAAAACTAACCATTTCCCAACACCTAATGCTACTTTCATCAAATATCTTTCATATGCACTTTGGTCTGTTTATGGAATTTCTCTTCTATTCCACTGATCTATTCCTGAAAGAGTGCCAACACATAATATGAAATATAATGTAATATATTTTTGTATCTAGAAGGACAAATTTGCTTGCATTATTTTTTATTTTTTGCTATCTTATTTTTCCAAGTGAACTCTATTATTACTAATAGGGAGGCATTATACATCCTCATGAAGGCTTTATTTTGGAAGAATAAATGATGATCTGGAAAAATGCTCACAAAAAAACCCCGACAGAACTACTTACATAGTATGAGCCCAAATTTATATGGTAAAGAGACAGAAGAAAATAACACATTAATAGATTTTTTTTTTTTGAGACCGAGTCTCATTCTGTTGCCCTGAGTAGAGCGCTGAGGTGTCGTTGAGGCTCACAGTAACTTCAAACTCTCGGGCATGAGCAATTCTCTTGCTTCAGCTTCTCAAGTAGCTGGGATTATAAGCACGCGCCACTATGCCCAGCTAGTTTTTCTATTTTTAGTAGAGATGGATGGTTTTGAACGTCTGAGCTCAAGCAACCTACCCGCCTCAGCTTCTGAGAGTGCTAGGATTACAGGCATGAGCCATTGTACCTGGCCTAATAAATAGATCTTAATAGTTGAATTATAGGATTTCATTTATCCTATAGGATAGGAAGAAACTGAAGATAAGCAAGAATTTAAGGTATAGGGGAGGAAGAACATGCAACAAGTGATTTTGAGTGTGAAGTGTGCTACACAAAAGGAAGTCCCTTCTTATATTTCTAAATTCACTACCACGGGCAGCTATCTCAAGTTAGTGTTACACAGTAATAGCACAGAAGTTAAGAGAATGGGCCTTTAAGTCAAACAGATATACATTTCAATATTGCTATACCAATCTGTAACAATGTGATTTTGGTCAAGGTTTCTTAATTTTTTTTTTTTGAGACAGTCTTATTATGTCACCCTCAGTAGAATGCCCTGGTGTCACAGCTCACAGCAACCTCAAACTCCTGGGCTCCAGTGATTCTCTGGTCTCAGCCTCCTAAGTAGCTGGGACTACAGGCGCCTGGTCGCAAGGCCCTGCTATTTTTAAAAATAGTGTTTTGCTCTTGCTCAGGCTGGTCTTGAACTCCTGAGCTCAAGCAATCCGCCCATCTTGGCCTCCTAGAGTCTAAGATTACAGATGTGAGCCACTGTGCCTGGCTTTAAGTTTCTTAATCTTACTGGGCTATACCCAACTCCGTAAGGTTGTTGAAGAGAATCACATGAGATACATTTGAAGCAATTCACAGCAATGCACTAAGTGCTCAATAAATGGTAGCTATTATTTTTATCACTGATGACAGTAAAACCAGTTTTTAGGCTCAGCGCCTGTGGCTCAAGC